CCACACTCCCCACAAGGGGTACAAGGGAAGTCGGCCACAAGGCTCCATCCCACTGGAGCTCAGTCCAAGTCAACTCTGCCAAAAATTGCTTCAAATGTGGCAAGCAGGGCCACTGGTCACAGTATTGTCCTGACCCCTAGCTGCCCAGGAGGCCCTGCCGACAGACTGGGCACTGGAAATCGGAATACACTCGTGCAGGCTCGTCCTCTATGCCATGCCATGGAGGTTGAGACTCACCAACACTGGCAACTGAGAACTCCTAAGCCTGGCAGAGGACTGATGCGGCCTAGACCTGCTGACACCCATTGCCCTCTCTGAGCCTACGGTGACGCTGCAAGTAGTGGGTAAGTCCAATGACTTTTTTTTTTGGACATGGGAGCTACCTATTCTGTTTGGACATCTCAGTTCCCTCACCAGTTTCTGTTACAGGGGTGGACCAGATCCCTTCCTTCCCACTTAAGACCCTGACACTTCCCTGCATTCTTGCAGGGCGATTCTTCTCTCACTCTTTTGGGGGGCCACTCTCACCTTGGCCCCCACACTCTGCTGAGTATTTCACAGGTCCATAAATGGGTTGCTCCAGATATATTTCAGCCTCTGCACCAGCTTCAAGGACACCAACCAGGTGAGGATTGGCAGGTGGACTTCAATCACATGCGCAAATCTAAGGAATTTCGTTACCTCCAATGATTGACACCTTTATCCTCAAGAAAGGTTGAGAAGGCCAATGGACTCATCGAATGACAGCTCACCAAGCTCTTCATTGTACTCAGGTTATCTTGGCCCTCCCTTCTCCCCATTGCGCATACCCACCTCCAGCCCACCCCACACTCTCCTACAGTTTTTAGCCCTTTTGAGCTTCTTTATGGAAGGCTCTTCATCCTCAATCACCACCTCCCAGCCCAAACTCCTCCATTGGCGGGTATCTCCCCTACCTCTCTTTTCTGAGGTCCCTTTTCCATTCATACTGTGATCCTCACCACCCACTCGGCTGCCAAGCTTCTGGGATATCCATGCTGGTATCATCTCTCAAGCTCAAGTGGGCACCTATTCAGGATACATGGTCTGTCCAGCAGCTGGGACCCTCCACCCTCCAGTTTTCTAAGATGTTCCAACAAAGGGCCTATCTGCTCTTCTGCTTTTGTACATTCATCTACAACTAGGGGAGATGTTAATGATCTATTTTTTTTCCTAAAAACTTGCCGCCTTTGATTCCTCAAGAAACAGATGCTTGAGGTCTCCAGGATGACAGTTAACCAGATGCTCCTCCAATCACACCTCCTGCTGAATGTGAGCTCACCAATTCCTGACTCTTCCCCACGTCGGCCCTTGCCCGCAGGAAGTAGTCAGACTTGAACCAGCGTCCCTATACCTGAAGAATCTGGAATGTTCTGGTGGAAGATCCACCTCAACTCCCCTCCCCCATCTCTTTGCCCAAACCCACTCCTCCTAAGCCCACCAAACACAGCTCCTCCCCCAGAGAGGCTCAAGACCACTCCCACAGTTATATACTGTGCTGCATTCCAGAAAACAAACACGTGGTTCTTCCGGTCTCTTGTCCTGGTCTCCTCTCTGTGGGCCTGGGGAGTCACCCAGGAATGCTTCACCCATTAAACCTGGGCTTTTCCAATTCAGTCTGATTCAGTTTAATTTGGATTGCTGCGTCGCTGAAGAGGCCTTCAGTGTACAGAGACTTATCACCCCTCAAGCTTAGCACCTGTGGGGGTTACAGTAATTACCTTGAAGGGGCCCTGCCATTTAGGGGAAAGTGGTGAGGGACCTGGTCTGGAGAAGAGAGAGGGACATGATCCTCGATGTTGATCAGGGATGGACAGGGGTTGGCGTATGGTCAGAGTAGAGGAACCTCAAACTCTTAAGGACACACATGCTCCATTATCAACAGTAACTACCATTCTACATTCGGACACAACCTTTGACCATTATCCCAAGCCCTCATAACTCATAACCACACTTTGTCCTTTCTATGTAACTTTAGGGGCCAGAGCTACTCTGGAACTGGGTAGGTGTGAGTAACTAATGATAGCCAGCCAGCCCTGATCAAAGTAGGAGCTGAGTCAGAATAAGCCTTAAGAGATGTTTTCCTCACAGAGTAAAGCACAGCATCTCCTACCAGGAAGCAACGTGTCAACAGTCTGATGAACAGGTCGAGCCTGCTTTGAGTGAGCCACCACAGCTGGCTTCACAGCTCCCCTTGCTATGTAGTCATCATGGGTGTTTAGAGGGGAAATACAGACCCGTGAACCCCCACCATAAGCACAGGCTACTCTCCCTCTGCCTCCATGACCATGGCACCTGTTGAAGTGCAGGTCTGGACTCCCAAACCATAGAAGAGCAAGGGCTGGAGACTGTCTTGCCCTGTTTTCATCTACAGCAGGAGTGTGTGCTCACTGCTGATGGATGGGGGGCTTCTTGTGTGATGCAAATGTTCTAACATTGAGCCAGGGTGATACCGGCATCCTGCTGTAAATCTATACTTAGACTACAAGCAGTAAAGCTTTTTAAAAGCGTACAACTACACACACACACACCACCTCAAGACTCAGGAACTAACATGGAAGTGGGGTGAAAACATTGTAAAACTCAGGGCATCTGGAAGACTGCAGTGAGACTCTTCTGGACACCACAGGCCTGAATCACGGCACTAATAGACTCAAAGCAGCTGTGATTGCCTGCACATAATCAAGCCAGTCAATATTATAACATGGAGAAAGGGGGCTTATGACTTCCCTCCCCTAACTGAGGAGGTTCTGACTGCTAATGGTTCCCAGGGAAGGGAGTCGAAGCTTTCTTTTGAGGGTGTGACCCCTTGGAGGTCAACCACCTATGCCTCATCCTCCAAGATTATAACTTAATTGGCTGAGGGTGGGTTTTGGTGAGTCAGGATCTTCAGTCAGCACCCCAGGTGACTCTAAGCTGCAAACCCCCTTCCAGACCACCTGAGTTGGGTGAAGGAGGATGCTATTGTAGGAAATTAAAAATATATAGATTTTATTTTCTTAGACAAAGTCTCATGTAGCACAAAACTATGTGGCCTTGAAACAACTATGTTCAAAAACGACTTTGAACCTCTGAAGTGCTGGGATTACAGCCATGTACCACCATGCCTGATTTATGTGGTTCTGGGGTGTTGAACCATAGTACTAGGCAAGTACTTTGTAAACTAGGCTAACTCCCTCCCATGTAAAATTGATGGGTTTGTGAATGGTCTCTGACTCTCTGTAACATCCACAGTGGAACAACAGGAGTATCTTCTGTTAGAATACTTGACCTTGGTTTCTGAAACCTTTTTGAAGTATAAGACAAAGATAAGCAGACAAGTCCAGCTACACTTCAACTTGACTTAGGGTGACCACAATACTGAAGGGCTCATTACCACAGGAACCAGCCACGTGTTGAACTTTTCAGTCCCACTTCCACTTGACCTCCACGGAGGGAGGAAGGGCTGTCGCTCAAGTGGATCACTGGTGACCAGTGGTATAATCACCCATGCCCACCTAAAGAAGCCTTCATAGAACCTCCACCCCAAGTATGAAGCTTAGGATTTTCTTGTCTGTGAACTAGAATACTACCATATGCCAAGGGAGTAGAGTACCTCAACTCCTTGAAAATAAGAGACTCTGGCTGGGGGACCCATGTGAATCTTAGCATGCCTCTTATACTGGCCTTCCTCTGGCCGTCATGTGTCCTTGAGTACACCATAACCAGTTGGTAAATGCACACTAATGGGTTTGCTTGAGTTCTGTGAGCCATCTAGCAAACTCTGAGTACAGGAGGGCATTGCAGAAGCTTCCAAATTGCAAGCAACCAGCTAGTCAGAAATAGAGATTGCAGCTTGGATGTGTGGTTGATGCTGGAAGTGGGGGTGATTGCACAGATTCTCTGTTTTCCCAAAGTTCCTTGCATATCCTTTAAAAATAAAATGTTGGCAAGAATGAAGTTGCTTGCAGAAAAATGGATGCAACCAGGCTAACATAGTGAGTCATTCTCAGAAAGGAAAATAATGAGTTTTCTCCTACTTTGGATCTTTTATAGCTACATAAACTTGTGTACATACTAGTGCCATGAAGTGAGAAGTAGAGCTGTCTGGAGACAAATGCACTGATAGTCGGACATGCAGGCTATGCACCGAGAGCATTTGTATACTTGCATAAAAGTGGCTTTATGTAGTCCTGTACAACAATAATAAACTGTTAATTAAAAACCGTAATACTCATCATGGATTCCAGTAAGCCAAGCTAAAACCCAAACAGAGTCATGCATGATAAGATTTAAATGGACATGATGACACCAAATTGTTCATCAGACTTTTTAAGAAATCAGTGTTGAGAAGAAATTTCTGAAGGGGGGCAAATTGATTTGAGTAATAGTAAGTTTCCCTCTATCTTAATTCTGCCACAAAAGAGATCAACCAAGAACTGGGATTTGACAAAAGACAGCAAATCTGCTTGCCCTGCATAAGGCCATACGACTAATTGCTAACACAACAGCAAAAAGTACGAAATTCCCTAAATATAACTGGAAAATTGATAGTGTTTCAACTAATTCATTGAGAAGTTTATGTTCAAAAGCACTGCAGAACTGGACAAAAGTCTCAGAACCAAGCTGGTACAAGGAGTCATGCTTTGCATTTAGGAGGCTGAGGCTAGAAGATTGTTATGAATTGGATGTGAGCCTGAGCTATAAGGTGAGTTCAGGTGATGAACATAGACTACAAAATGAGACCATAGCAAAAGCCTATCTAAGGTTTGGATGCATTTGGTCTCAGCACTCAGGCAACAGAGGCAGGTCGATCTGTGTGTGTGTAAGGTCAGCCTGGTCTTGATAGTTCCAGGACAGTGAGGAATGCATAATGTGATGTCTCAAAAAAAAAGTTCTAAGAACTGTCAGAATAAGCAAAATCTGGAACATAGATACTGAAGTTTGTTTTTTTTTTTTTTTTTAAAAAAAAAAAAAACCAAATCTCTAGTGATGGACTGGATCATGTGCTATAAGGGATTCCTCAGGATTTCCCAGATGAAATTCAGTAGCTTGATAAATGACTTGAAGGATAGTATGACAGTAATAGGACACTTGCTTAGCATGTGTGAAGCCCTAGGTTCCATCACTTTGTCTGTCTGTCCGTCTGTCCATCTGTCCGTCCCGCACACATCAGAAAGCCAAGACTGACATTTTTAGACAGGGTCTCATTTTGTATCTCCTCTGACCTAAACTTTAAATCAGCTTCATAATGCTACAATTACAGGTGTGTGTTGATACGCTCAACCAGAAGTTCATCTTAAATGTTTGTGTTCACTGGTGTGTGTTCATTTAAATGTAGCTTCCTGGACCAGTAAGATGGGCCAGCAAGTAAAGATGCTTTCCACCAAACCTGATAACCTGAGTTCAATTCCCTATCCCCAGGACCCACATAATGAAGGAAGATAGCTACTCCCACAGGTTGATGTCTGACTTCCACCTATGTGCAATCTCTCTCACTGTCTCTGTCTCTGTCTCTCTCTCACTCACACAAACACATAAACGTCATAAAATTTAATCTAGATTCCTATAAGAGAGAAAACACTTGTCATTCTTATTTTTCATTACTGTCTCTTGTCTTTCCCTCTCTTAAGTCCTCTTTGACGTTCATTGCTCTTTAATGTTTGGGAGCAACCTGACCTAAAAACAGACACTTGGGACATTAGCACTGTGAAATAACACCCACCCAACTCCCCACCCTGGAATGGAGAAGTCTAACTGCAATCAAAATTGCAAACCACTGGTGTAGCTAGGAATAGGATGGAGCTGGGGTGGGGGTCAGACTCCAACTATCCCTTTCCTAGATAGAAATTTCTCAGTGATGCGATTGATTCCCAGTGGCCAATCTCAGAGCTTGGGTGGGAAGGCAACCACTTTTAAGAGCACTTTGCCACACCTGTAGCACTATGAGCCTAAGTAGATGCTGGCCTTGGAGAGATGACAACAGTCTGGCTACTCAATCTTGTGGGTGTCTCTGTAGTTCTCTCATCCATTTCTTTGAAGATTTGGATGTCTTGACAGCAAGAATTATGAGGTTTGGATTGGCACTCAAATGTAATTCTTTGAAACTGGGTCTTGTGTAGTCCAGGTTGGTCTTCAACTTGCCCTTTAGCTAAGGATGTCTTTGAATTGATCCCCTGCCTCTAGAGTTCTGAGATTACAGGCTTGTTCCTGTACTCAATTTACACAGTAGTTTGTGCATTCTAGGCAAGCACCAAACCATATCCCCAGCCCTCAGAACTTCTCTGTGCAAAGGTTGTAGTGAACTTGGAGGAGACATCCCCAATGACTCCTCCTAAGACTTATAGCAGCTTTTCATCTGCTGGAACCCAGGTCCATGATAAAGTTTGGTTCAGAGACTTAGAGAGGCAGGTGTGGTGTTGATCATAGTTAAAGTCTGGTGTCAGGGTCTTTCTGAGGGGATTTAGAGCAGAGATACACAGAACTGCAAACACCTGAGCCTACCAGGTGTCATGCCAAGCCATGGGTTGAGTCTGGAAAATGCTGTGGTTTTCTTCTGAAAAGAGGGCCCCTTCTTCCCTTCTCCCTTTTCCTCACCCCCTTTTTTGGGACAGGATCTTGCTGTAGATCAAGCTAGCCTCAAAACTCAAGGTAATCCTCCTGACTTAACCTTTTTTAAAAAGATATTTTACTATTATTGTGTGAGTCTCTCCCTACCCCGTGTGTGTGTGTGTGTGTGAACACAAGTGTGGAAGCAGAGGACAACTTTGGGGAGTGGGCTCTGGGGATCTACCATGTGGGCTCTGAGGCTCTTAACTCAGGGCATCAGGATGAGTGGCAAGTGCCTTTACATACTGAGCCATCTCACAGGTCCAACAACTTCTTAAGTCATGGTTTCAAGGCCTCTCTCCAAATATAGTCTTAGAAATTGGGGGAGGGGACACACACCTCAGTCCATAAGATATTGTCACCAGTTCCTAAGCACAGTTCTCTGGTCAAGTTGCATAAAAATACTAATGGCAAAAAGAAATGGTTTTGTGTCTTTTGCATATAACCCCCTTTAAAGGCTAATTGATCATTTTTTAAAATGAAAAGTTGGACTAGCTGAGGGGATCCCACTGATAGTAGCTTTTGCTATAAGAGCTTCAAGCCAAGTTGCTGATTGAAGGCCTGTGTGCACAGGGTGGGGAAGTCGTCAGGTGGTAGAGCACTCATCTAATAGGCCAGAGCTGCGGTGCCTGCCTTCCCCAGAGCTTGCCCCACGCCACCCTTGTCTGTGTTGCTTTTGCTTTGCAAGCTTTTAACAAACCACAGCAGCCAAACCTAATACCTGTCCAGTCCTGTGAGTAAATAGTAGGATTGGTAGAGGTGGTTCCCAGGACCCAGCAGCAGTCACGGGGGACTTCTGGTGTGTTGGTAGTGCCTTCTTTTTCAGTCTGTATACTCTTTATACAGTATGTGTCCAGCTAGAGGAAACTCAACATGTGTAATTATAACCAGACCATTTTTCTATAAACACACCATATTTCAATGAAAAGTTTAAATAAGCCAAGAGTGGTGACATACTCCTGTAATATCAGCATATAGAGTCTAAAGCAGGACTGCTAAGTCCAAAGCCTATCTAGGCAGCTTAGAACATTTTTTATTATTAAATTATTAAAAAATAAGTTAATTAAAAATTTAAAGAGTGGGGATTGCTGGAAAGATGGCTCAGCAGACAGGGCACCTGCTATGAGTTGGAATCCCCAGAAGCCACTTCAAAGCCAGAAGAAGGTGCTAGATCCTCACAGAACAATGAGGCACAGGTGAACCACATGAGCACTGTGTGACTGAGAAGAAGAAACCAGGACCAAATCTGGTCAGGCTTACAATCTCTGCGTATCCAATTAGTTCTTGGTTTCCCAGGCTATCCCATGAGCATTCAATGCTCAAGTCCCAACCCTGCAAGTTTCTTGCTCACAAGATACAGGTTTTAAAAGGAGCTGCACCATTAGAGCACTCACATGATGCAGAGTGCTGGGTGGCTTCCATTTTAAATCTCCGTGGCCAATCAACAATGTGCAGGCCTTTGAAAGATTCCCAGCGCCTTGTTTGAATTCGAGGGGGAGCAGAGCAAGTTTAGGAGCATGAAGACAGCAGCCAAAGCTGGAAAGCTGGCTCCAGCACCAGCTGACCTCTGGAAAGCCAGGGTCCAGGGAGATGCAGGTCCCAGTGCCCCAGTGGCTGCCCCACTGTTGAAAAAGATTCCAGAGGTCTTAGTGGACAAAGGCAGCAGGCGCCTTTATGTAAGGGGACGCTTTCTGAGTAAAGCAGGCTTTGTCAAATGCTTTGAGATCTCAGACCAAAACACAAAGGAGGTGTTCGCAGCCAAGATCGTGCCTAAGTCTTTGCTCACACCCTCCCAGAAGGAGAAGCTGTCCAAAGAGATTTCCATTCACCGCAGCCTCTCACATCAACATGTCGTAGGCTTCCACAGCGTTTTTGAGGACAGCGAATTTGTGTTTGTGATTTTGGAGCTTTGTCGGGAGAGGGTGTTTCTGCTGCGGGGCTGGGGTGTTCATACAGGGAATTTGCTGGCAAAGAGCTACTGATGCCTTGTAGTAGCCTATAGGAGTGCTTGGGTTTCAGGACTCTGGGTAAGGGCATGCATTAACAGGAGAGGGTCCTGTGAATGATAATGACCAGTGTATGGGCAGAATCATCAGGAGTCTGCCAAGACCTCCCTTTAATCCCGAGAGCTTAGTCCTGGTCCCATCCAGCTGGTCACCCTTTCCGTGGGCTTCAGTAACTTCTTCCTTCTTCCTCAGTCCCTCCTGGAGCTGCACAAGAGGAGGAAAGCCCTGACCCAGCTGGAGGTGCGCTACTACCTAAGGCAGATAATCCTGGGCTGTCAGTACCTGCACCACAATCAGGTCATTCACAGGAACCTTAGGTTGAGCAGCGTCTTCCTGAACCAGGATCTGGAGGTGAAAATAGGTGAGGTGCTGTTAGCAGGCTATTAGCAGCATCAACCCATTCCTTGTTCTTGCAGCCTTCAGAAGTAAATGTATTCTATTCAAAACAATTCTTTTCAGGGTAAGGGCATGGCTCAGGGTTGGAGCACAGGCCTAGGGTCCCCCAGTGAGAGACTTAGGGCATGGCTAAGGGTAGATCCCCCACCTAGAATCCCCCTGTGAGGGGCTGGGGTTGTGGCTCAGGGGTAGAGCCTCTGCCTAGAATCCCCCAGCATCACCCAGGTGTAGACTTTTATCAATTTCCAGACATTACTCAAGCTATTATTTCCTAACTCCCTGACTCTTCCCTTATCAATGATACAAAACTCCTTTCAGGAAAGAAAACCTGACTTCTGAGAAGAAAGGATCAATGCTCCAATACATCCCAAGCTCCCTAGCAAGGATGAATCACATCAGTGCTGTACTGTAGAAAATTGGGACCTCAGCTCCGGAGCATGCACAGAGGACCTGAAAAAGAGTCCAGGCCTCCAGTCTGGGAGGGGTTCAGGGAGTTGCTCTAAGGACCCCAGTTCTCTGGCTCGGATGCCTGTCAGCCCAGGCTCTAGCCTTGACCAGCCCTCGGGGGTGCCCCTAAATTTTGCCCTGCTGCAACCGCAACTCACCCCACGCCCCACTCGGAGGAGCATGCCAATTTTCTGCAAGGTTCTCAGGGCCTAGGAGGCAGAGAGGACCATGTATTGTCACAACTGGAGGGTGTTTCTGCAGGCAGCATGCCGGGTGAGTACCAAGCTCGCACTTGGTATCTTCCAGCAAAGGGCGGTGTAAGGGGGCGTGCCTTTGAGACTTCTCTCAGAGGCTCAGGCTTCCAGCCCCACTTGGAAAGCACTAAATACTAGCAGGAGGGGGGCCAGGGCTACCTTAGCGCCCCACCTCTCTCAGCTCTATGGAGCTGGGAAATGGGAAAGCACCAACCACAGGAGGTGTCTGTGGTGTGCCCTCAGATGGGGTGTGGCCTCAATACTAGAGGCAATCCTCCTGACTTAACCTCTTGGGGACTGGAATTCTAGACATGATCCACCGTGGCTGGTTAAACATCTCCCCTTAACAGAGGATATCAAATTTTCTTTATAGAGATGATGTAACATTTTAAAGTCATTTAAGTTGAGTTTCACGATCAAATCCATGATGATCTTTCCCAGTTACTGTCCGCACGTGATTTACATTTGTCTCCTGGATGCATGTGTTAGCCTCTCTGTCATTCAATGTCTTTCCAGATCAGGCATTTTCAGTGCCTCCTTAAACACCCCGAGTTCCTCATATTGTGGTGATCCCCGACCATAAAATTGTTTTCATTGCTACTTCATAACTGTAATTTTGGTACTGTTTTGAATTGTAATGTAAAAATTTTGGAACTAGAGGTTCATAAAGGGGTCAAGGCCCAAAGGTTCAGAACTGCTTCTTGAACTCCAGCAAAGTACTGTGGCCTTGAGCTTCACCCACTACCTTATTCCAGCATAGACTACGGTTAGTGTGAGTTCTTTCTGTTGTCTTTCCTCCCAGAATCTGCATGCAGTGGGTAACATTAATATGTTGAAATTGGTCTTGTTATTGCCACTGAAATATAAATGTAAGTTAAATTGACCTTTGCCAAACAAGAACAATATCAAATAAGGTACTTTAGGAAATACCTTGTGCTATGCACAGTGTTAGAAGTAAGAATAGCTATGTCAAAGTAATGAGCAAGTCTATCACCTAAAATTGGTATCTAAACCCTTTGCTAAATTCAAAGGATATTTTCTGACCTGTTTCCATGGTGTCGTTGAACCACTACTCTTTAGACACAATCTCACCATGTAGCCCATGCTGACCTCAAATTTGCACAAAAACTCATATTAAAAATTAAAGGGTTTTATCTAAATTTCATATTCCTCCCAGGGACTAGAAGTGTAGCATGCATGAGGCTCTGGGTTCAATCCTCAGCACCCACATAAACTTGGTACCTTCTACATGCCTGTAATCTCCTACATCAGTCTCCCAAACCCTGATAACCAGGTGTGAGGCAACAGACCCAGGGAACTGTAACTACTGCTGCTCTGGCGTATGTAACTTGTTCCATACACGATTCACCTGGCTGTTAAGTTGTAGCGAGGTCACACATGGACATTTCTTCCTCTGTAATTATTCATCCAGCAAGTCCCTAATGACCATCAACCGGGAAAACCCATTCAGTCTCATTTTCTTCTGCTCATGGTGTCTCCCAGCTTGCATGCTTTATTCAATTAATCAGTTCATTCATTCGGGTCCATTATGAGCACTGAAATCACAGGTTCTGCAGATTAAGAAATGGACATCAGCACCTAGTGAAAATTGTAGCTTTGTTAACCTTTGGATCTCCAGCTTTTAAAGGACCAGCCTTACAAAACCTCCTCATTGACTCTTTCAAGGTCTGCTTCATTCACAGCTAAGCCTCTTACTGCACTGGCATGTAAATGACATGGGGACAGTATCCTTACCAACATCCTTTTATCTTTGTTTCATTTTTAATTAGCTTACAAAGACTGGATGGTTGAAAGGCTTCCTCCAACATCTTTAGTTTTTGTTAACTAACCCTTGCACAGTTTACCCTCCCCGCCCCACTCTCCCCTACCAGCCTGCTGCCAGCCCCACTTATGCCTTTAACCTGGAGTGTTCTCCCCCATTCTTTCATGCAACCTGTGTTTACCATCCCTTCTGATTATATTTTTTACTTTGGCCGCAAGATATAGGTTTTCTTATAGCTTTTTCATATGCCCTTCATTCTAGTTAAGTCTTTTCCAGTGCGTCACTTTCCCATCCAGGTTTGAACCTTCCCACTCCAAGCATCCCCACCTCTACCTTGACTTTTTAACTATATTTTACTAAATCCACCTGCCCTCATGAATCCGTCCCCAATGGCCTGTCTCTAATTACCTGGCTTCCACATGTACTCCAAAAACACACAAAAGAAAATTTTCAAAGCAAGGATACCTGTGTGAGAGACAGTACATTTGTCTTAATGAGGCAGGGTTTCGTGTACTCCTGGCTGGCCTTTTACTCACTGTGTAGCAAGGATGTCCTTCAATTACAGGCAGGCAGCACCATGCCCTATTTGTGTGAGTGTTGAGGATGGAGCCCAGGACCAATTGACCTACATCCCTAGACTAGGGAAGAAACATACAATAGGAAGAAAAAAATTATGTGAACACTAAGTTTATCTTGTGTATTTTTTGAGGCTGATCTTTACTATGATGCCCAGGATGATCTTAAAGCCCCAAGTTCAAGTGTTACACCTGCCTGGGCCTCCTGAGTAAATGACACTGTGGGTATGCACCTCTACATGAAATATGTTTCTTGAGCAGATTCTTGGCATGGCTCCTCTGCACATGCATCTTTGTGAGCATTCATGGAAAATGCTTCTGTGTATAGAAAAGAGCAGATGAATGGGCCCCTGCTGGAAAGGTGGCAACAACTTCCCACTGACCTATGAACCCAATCTAGACCCTTCATTTAACCTGAAACTGCCTCCAGGAGCTGACAATGTTTGACCCTTGGTGCTGTGCTGTTCCATGCACACCTCGGCTTCATTTTTGTTTTGTGGGTTTTTTTTATATTTAGCATAGAACTGAGCTTCTCTGACATTTTTTATATGTTATGTTTTCATTTATGCTCTCACTACCTTTCCCACTCCTTCAATTAGACCTTCCCTCTCTCCACCCCAAACAGATTGACTTTCTGCGTTCATCTCATATACACCATTATCCTCTTTGCCTCCCTCCTCCCGTTAGGTCTCCTCCTCCTGTCTCATAGTCGCCTTTCTAGATGTGCACGTGTGTGTGTGTGTGGGGGGGGGGTCCAACCCCTAGATGGCACACTTTGTCACATCCTTCCACTGTCTGCCTCACTGTGGTCACTTAATCCTTTACATGACAGACAATATATAATTTACTGTCTCTTGAAACTATGAGAGAAAAGGGAGTTCCTAAAGATTTTAGTTCCCAGTTTCAAGTAGTCATGACAGGCTAAGGCTAGAGGTTATCTTCCTGATACCTGAGTCAATTCGCAATATAATGGTAAACAGATCTAATAATACACCTACTTTATAACTAAGCAGTCTGATGCTGAGATGGAAAAAAATCACAGTCTTGATCTTAACTCCCAGCACAATCTCTTCATACCACATTTAATCCACAATACAATTTCAGAAATGAACAAACAGATGCCAAGTTATCCTTTCACAACCTACTTCCTGTTACGCCCACATCATGAGCCCCTCAGAGACCACCAGGAGTCCAAGTTCATATGCAAAAGCAAAGAACCTTTCATGCAAGATCCAGCTTGGGCTCTTCATCCATTCCGACACAGTGGTTGGATCAGGGAGAGCATCGACCTCAGTTGAGGCAGAGTTTTTAAGGAGTAAAGGATGGGGGTTAGGGGAATTCTGGATTCAGATGGGGGTTGAACTCCTGATTGGGCAGGAGTGAGGTAACAGAAGTTTTGTCAAACAGTGGTTGGTACTGGCTGCAAGGAAATTGGCAGTCTATATACAAATCTAGTAAGTTATCCTTAATGAGCACTTAGTGCTGCGGACTGGGTCTCAGTAGGGCCACCAGCCTGAGGGAGAACGGGGTGAAGGTGCTCAGGATAATTGGGATTCGGCGATGACAGACAGACACAGACACCAGAGTATGCTGTGAAACTGCTGCAATTTTACTGAACATCAGGCTGAGATTTCGTACAATCTTAACAAGGGGCAAAAGGAAAACAATAGACGAAATCTTTTGTGGTCACACAATGTGGTTTTCAGAATGATTAATCCTTTCAGGCAGAGACATGCTGTGGCCTGAACCCTAAGAGCCAGATCACGTACTCAATAGCTAGTGATACATTTCTAGTAATTTATTAAAGACAGTTACAAAGTCCTCGCCAAGAGCCTTAGCCCACCTCTTTAGTACAGGTGCTATACCCCTCTGTTGCTTCTGCCTCAACCAGCAAGGAAGACGCAACACCAGGCTCTTCTCCAAGCAGTTTATTCAGGAACCTTGAGACAATCTTCTGACCCTGGGGAAAGCCATCTTCTCTCGCTGGGGAAAGCCAGCCCATGCCCTTTATAGCCACTGGGCAACCAACCCCGTAGTGCCACGTGGACAATGCCGATAGGGTCAGACATACGCAAGCAAGCCAGATTCCACGCCCAAGCCAAATAAGGAGTTGTTTATTCCAGAGAACACCTGCCATCGGGAAGGCGGAAGCCGGACGCCGGCGCCATCTTTGAGGCGTGGCCGTGCACGGCTCTCTACACCCCTCAATATAGCTGACCTTGTCTGCCTATCATATGTACACCATACCTTTCTGCTTCTAACCAGCCTTTCCATAAAAGGCAACTGATTCCCCAACATTCTTTTCCCCCATGATTTACCCAACCAATTCCCTTCATAGTCATAAGCCCCTGTAAAAGGGGGTGGATCTAAGTAATTTCTACTTCTGGGATTTCAACGAGGGGGTGTCCACTATTTCCCATTAATACGGTATTGAATGTACTTTCCAACCATTCTTGTGGGAGTTGCCAGTTTCCTAAGTTTTCTTTCTTGTGAGTTTGCATGAACTGAGTGAGGGTTACCTAACAATCTTTTTACTTTTACATTTTCTTCCTTAGAATCTGTGGGAACCTGAATCATTAGCTCTTTCTGTTCTAAACCATCCATGAGTGCCCCCACTGAAGTAGGGGTTTTTTGTGCTATCTGCCCAAGGGCTTGAATCACTGGGGGCAGTTCCAGTGTAACAGTTGAGGAGTTATCAGGCATGTCAAGCGAGCATCTACGGGAGTCCAGGCACAGGGAGGTTCGTCTATGGAAGTCCAGGCACAGGGAGGTTATTATTATCAGGAAAGAAGAAAGAAGCAGGAGTCTTGCCAACCATCCACGGAAGGCTGGTCTTTAGGGAACAATGTATCTAGGAACCATTGCTCGGGCTGATTGCCAGGGGACTGCCGGCGGGGCCTAGCCTCAAGAGACAAGTGCCCCCCTTCCTCGTGAGACCACCAGATCGGCATTTGTCACACGGGCAACACCGTCGCAGGGGTGGCAACTTAGTACTTGTTTGTCTCAATTCTGATTGGTCTCCTGCAGGGTACATTTGTGGCTTTTCCTGTTTATTGTAATGGTGAGACCTAGTTCTAATATTGTTAGTTTGCAGCCTGTCATGGCTGCCCTAATGTTAAGTTAGGCCTCTTCGCTTCTCTATAAAGAAAGTAACATTCAGAGGTTCCCTTGCCTAGCAGCACTAATAGACTTTCAAAGCAGCAGCCAAGGTCTGGAGGAGTTGCATGTGTTTACAAGGGAAGCTGTCAGGAGGTGTTTAGGAAGGCATTTAGGAATCAGAATACAGATGCTTTAGCATCAAAAGAGCATTGGAAGGAAATTAGCAGCTCTAGTGTTTGTCTGGCTTTTCAGCTTGCTACCCCAAGATTGAACTACCAGCTCCTCCCCAGCCTCTCCTCTACTTGGCAAAATAAAACACTTTTTAGATTGAAGGTATTGATTTGTTATAACATGGTGTCTTTCTTTCCCTTATTTAGTTTCTACTCGTAATAATAATCTTAACTATGCAATCCAGCTCAACTTCAGGAGAATGAGGAAATTACAAACCCAAAGAAGAGCAGCAGGACTCAAGGACTACAAGATATTAATAGCAGAAGGATGGGTGCCACAGTTGGATGGGTGCCCTCGGAGCTGCAGATGGATTTGGTGTTTAAGGTGTATGTCAGTCGGAACTGTCACAGCTGTCCCATAGTTGGCAGTGGTGAGCTTCTTGCTGAACTTGCTCTTCTTGGACCCAAGGTGCTCATGGCTTCAACAATGCTCATGTCTTCTTTAGCATTCCCAAGGACCATGTGTTTGCCACAAAAACACTGAGTCTCTGCAGTGCAGATGAAAACTGGAAATTGTTTGTCTTGGTTCATCATTTGCCATGGACAAAATACCAGGACCTGAACGTTCAGGATGACATTCGCATCCTTAAATTTCACCCCATAGATGGACTTCATATGAATGACTATGGCACATAATGTCACCACCCAGACATGAATCCTGGAATAATTCAGTGAAAGGAGAAACACTCGTAACCAAATACTTCCTTTCAAATGCTCAGAGCAGCAAAGTTTTCTTCTACCTTGGGAACTTTGCAAATAGCTAGAGGAAGACTCAGCTTAAGGGTGGCTGTCTATACCGAGGTTGAAGACCACTGTGGACTTGACCATAGATCTAGTGGCCACAGGGCACAGGGCAATCTGCAAATGCTCTTTAAAAAAAGTTAACAGAGAGGCACCGTTCACCAAAGGATGGAAACTGATGCAAACTCACAGCCAAATACTAGAAGGAGTTCAGTGAATCCTAGAGAACAGGAGGAGAAAGGATTGTAGGAGCCAGAGGGGTCAAGGACACCACAAGAAGACTAACAGAATCAACTAACCTGTATCTGATTAGTTCTTGGTTTCCTAGGCTATCCCACGTGCATTCAGTCCTCAAGTCCCCGCCCATCAAGTTTCTTGCTGCACCATTAGAGCACTCACATGATGCAGAGTGCTGGGTGGCTTCTGTTTTAAATCCCCGTGGCCAATCAGCAACGCACAGGCCTTTGAAAGATTCCCAGCGCCTTGTTTGAATTCAAGGGGGAGCAGAGCAAGTTTAGGAGCATGAAGGCAACAGCCAAAGCTGGAAAGCTGGCTCCAGCACCAGCTGACCTCTGGAAAGCCAGAGTCCAGGAAGATGCAGGTGCCAGTGCCCCAGTGGCCGCCCCCCTATTGAAAAAGATTCCAGAGGTCTTAGTGGACAAAGGCAGCAGGCGCCTTTATGTAAGGGGACGCTTTCTGAGTAAAGTAGGCTTTGTCAAATGCTTTGAGATCTCAGACCAAAACACAAAGGAGGTGTTCGCAGCCAAGATCGTGCCTAAGTCTTTGCTCACACCCTCCCAGAAGGAGAAGCTGTCCAAAGAGATTTCCATTCACAGCAGCCTCTCACATCAACATGTCGTAGGCTTCCACAGCGTTTTCGAAGACAATGAATTTGTGTTTGTGATTTTGGAGCTTTGTCGGGAGAGGGTGAGTGTTTCTGCTGTGGGACTGGGGTGCCCATACCGTGAATTTGCTGGCAAAGGGCTACTGATGCCTTGGAGTAGCCTTAGAGGAGTGCTTGGGTTTCAAGCAATTATGAAAAGGCTTCTAGTGAGGGTGATGAGTGGGGTTGAGAAAAGACTCTGGGTAAGGGCACGCATTAACAGGAGAGAGTCCTGTGAATGATAATGACCAGTGTATGGGCAGAATCATCAGGAGTCTGCCAAGACTTCCCTTTAATCCGGAAAGCTTAGTCCTGGTCCCATCCAGCTGGCCACCCTGTTCGGTGGGCTTCAGTAACTTCTTCCTTCTTTCTCAGTCCCTCCTGGAGCTGCACAAGAGGAGGAAAGCCCTGACCCATCTGGAGGTGCACTACTACCTAAGGCAGATAATCCTGGGCTGCCTGTACCTGCACCACAATCAGGTCATTCACAGGAACCTTAGGTTGAGCAACGTCTTCCTGAACCAGGATCTGGAGGTGAAAATAGGTGAGGTGCTGGACCTGCAGGTGCCTGGTGCCAGTACAAGAGGAGGCAAGGAGAGGGAATCTGGGAGAATGGGAGCCAGAGAAATGGAGGGCCGGTGGGACATGGAGGTGCTGCCCTCCAGAACGCCCTCTAGTCTAGAAATGGAGGGTGAGGGGCCCACACTCCAGTGTCTTGCCTTCAGATGCATTTGCTCTTTTTGTTTTTGTGTTTGCTGTTGCTGTCTTGTGTACCTCAATACAGTAGTTCTGAAAATAGTTTACTTGGGGATGCCTCCCCCAATTACTACCCTATCTCATAGCACTGAGCCAGGTGCTCCTCAGTCAGTTTCCTTTTTAAACTGGAGGTCTAGACGTATGCCATGGAGCAAGGCTGGCAGCATTCCCTCAGCTGTCTCTTTACTGAGCTGAAAAGTCCTGTTCCCTTGAGACTCTGATTTGCCTCAGTCCCTATTCCCATGTCACCTTTCTTACCTTGTCCATCAGCAGTCACGAAGAGTATTTCCTTGGTTCCCTAGTGCATCCAATTCTGTTGTCATGTGGTTTAAATTTCATTTATTTATGTGAGGGGTGGGGATAGAAGGTAACTTTCAGGAGTCAGTTGTCTCCTTGCACTGTGTGGGTCCCAGGGTCGACTCAAGCCATCTGTCTTAGAGGCATGCACCTTTACCTACAGAGCCATCTTGCCACCCTAGCCCTGCTATCTAAAAGAGCAGTGTAAAGGGCAGTGGGAGGCCAGCCAGCGCCAGCAAAGTAGAAAGGTTCCCGGAACAGAGACTTTGGAGTCTGATTCTCAATGGTCAGACCTGAGGCAGCTGTCTGCAACCACAGATGACCCAGACCTAGCAGCTGAGCGTCCTCTCTTCTTTCCTCTGTCCCAGGGGTTTTCAGGCTGGCAACCAAAGTGGAATATGAAGAGGAACAAATGAAGACCTTTTGTAGCCCCCAGAACTTCGTAGCTCCCGAAGCGGTGAGACTGGGAAGTTTTGAGGAGGATGTATGGTCCATCGGGTGCATCATGTAAGTTGGGAACGGACTCAGGAGCTATGGGTCTCAATGGGGCTTTCTGAGGCACTTCACCCAGTTGACCTTACCCTCTGGATCCTTCTTCTTTATAGAAAGGCTATTTCAGGGAGCAGATTGCCCACATGAAGCCCTATTTCCTTATTAATCTGGTGTAGGATATAGGATTTCCTGTCGCTTGGACTTATGGTCCAGAGAAGGGACGAGAAAGTCTCTACAATTCTTCCTCCAGCTCTTTGCTGTTTACTAAAAGCATGCACAGACCCAAACCATCAACACCTGAGAGCTTGTTAGGACTATGGACTCTTAGTTCTGAACCTGGGTTTAATTGTGTCCTTGGATGACTTTCAAGAAAGCTTTGGAAGCACTGATGAGCACTGATAGGAGAATCAGATCACCAGAAAGGCTGATGGTAGGAAGAAGTCCCATCATGGTGGCCTGTGGTGGATAGCAGTGGCCTCTGTGGTACTTGGAGTCCTCTATTACTGCAGCCCAGAGCTGGGGAATTCCTGACCCCTTAGTATCCGGGTGTTATCAGCTACATTCTTCTGAGGGCTTGTCCTAGCCAAGGTTACCGTGGCACTAGGCAGACTTGGAGACCATCCCCATCTCTTCCTAGTCAGTGAATCCAGCACAGCCCCCTTCCCCTAGACAATGACTTATGCATTTGGACTTTCCTGGGAGTTTGAGCAAAATTCTTCCTTGTACCTCCAGGTACACCTTGCTAGTGGGCAAGCCACCTTTTGAGACCTCATTCGAAAAAGAAACCTACCTCCGGATGAAACCAAATGAATACAGTGTTCCCAAGGTGACAGCAACACAATTTTATTTTGTTTCACCCAAAAGCTATTCACTGAGCCCAGCTATATCCTGAGGACAGAGCCTTGCCTCTAGTATAGCCACAGAGAATGTATGTGTGAAGGCTGGCCTTGAACTCGCTGCATGTTGAGTTTGAATGTCAAATTCTCCTGCCTCTACCTCCCAAGTGTTGAGATTATAGGCATGCAGCACCATGCTGGCTTTATGGGGTATACTGGGAACTGAACTGGGTTTTGTGCTTATAGGCAAGCACTCTGCCAACTGAGTCCCATGCCTAGCTTCCTGAATGGATGTAAAGTGCAGGGAGAAAATGGAGAAGAGGCAGACGTGCTTAAGCTTGGGACATGGACCATCTCCACCTAGCTGAGCTGTGTTTAGCAGATGATGGCTTGACTCTTGTGAACCAGGTTTCCCATCTACAAAGTTTAAGTTTCCCCAAGGGCTTCCAGTGACAAAATGACATCTTTTTTTCACAACCAATGGCATACATCCGTTTGAAGGGATAACCCATTTCTGGGGACTAGGTCTACCTGGGATATATGACCACTTTCAAATTGGTGTCCTTGACTTGTATATAGAGTAGCTATTTCACAGAGAATCAGCTCACTGCAGACAGCATGGACTGGCTTGAGCCAGCTGGACTGCTGTGGTATAAGTTCTGGCTTTATCACCTAGGCTGTGTGTATTCTCAGACAGGGGCACTTTCTCAATTCTGAGCCTGCTTCTTCATCTAAAGTGAGGCATAGTAGTGGAGTGAGTAGTCTTCACTTTTGTGAGGCTGAGGCAGGGGAACCTCAAGTTCCAGGATAGCCTGAGCTACATAGGGAGATCCTGACTCAAACTATATAGGGGGAGGGAGTCTTTTAGGAGTTTTTGTGAGGCCCAAATGAATTAATATACAAGACTGCATTCCTGATACATAAGAAGCCTAGAGTTAATGCTCTGACTGACAGGCCTGTTCTAGGTCTTATCCCATATACCAGGTGTCCCACGTGGTGGGGTCCCAGGTATGGTACTGCTCCCCCATTCTACAGATACGCCTTGGTGGGCCCAGAAAGCCCAGGCTATTTGTCAGAGCTGGAATCATGGGGGTGGAACTGGGATTTAAACACAGGTCTGGGGACCTGGAGGCCCCTCTAGTAGTAAATAACTAAATGTGCTTTGCAAGGGCAAGCTGGGGAAATCGTCCCAAGTTAATGTTGAGTGCCAAGTGGCAGGAAATGATCCTTCTCACCAGCAGGGTGACACTGGTCCTTGCTAAAGCTGGGGTGGAGGACCTGGTGGAGCTTACGGCCACTGAACTATGGTATATTTGAGATAGGAGCAGCCACATGTCAGGTGGGGTCCCTGTCTCATCTCACTTAGGCTCTGCTTCTCCCCTCCAGCACATCAATCCCATTGCTGCCTCCCTCATCCAGAAGATGCTTCAGGAAAACCCACTGCCCGCCCCACCATTGAGGAGTTGCTCAAAGATGAGTTCTTCACTTCTGGCTATATCCCTGCCCATCTGCCCATCACCTGCCTCACCATCCCACCAAGGTTGTCAGTGGCTCCCAGCAGCCTGGACCCCAGCAGCAGGAAGCCTCTCATGGTCCTCGAGAAAGGTGAAGCTTGGTCTTGGTAGGGTAGACTGCAGAGAGCCCATATTTCCAGGATGCATTTCAGGGTGCATGCACCTTACTCTGCCCCCAGAAGTGGGTCCTATCCTTGAGGTCTGGTCCCTGGGTTCTTCTGACCCTTGGGCTTGGCAGGAAGAACAGACTGAATCAACCCATTTGATCTGATAAGGAAAAAAATGGACTGAACACCAAGCCCATGAAATTATTTTTGATTATGTTTAAAAGTCTCTATCGTCACCTTTGCATGTTTTTGTTGAATGCTGGAACTTGTCAGGTATAGACATGGAGTATAACACGGCACCCATACTCATTCTCATTCTCAGCCATGGTTTACTCTGCACCTTTCACCCCTTTGAGTGCTTGTGTTTTGTCTGTCAGGAGAAGGTCTCTCACTGTCACCAGGCTGCTCTGGAGTCAGTCCTCCTGCCTAGGGCTCTGGATTACAAGTTTGTCAGCACATCTCACTTTTGAAATGTCACTACAGCCAACTCCAGCAGTCTGCCATTTTACACTTAAACTAAAGTACATCAGTAAGTTCGAGGCCCGCCTGGTCTACAGAGCGAGTACCAGGACAGCCAGAGCTGTTAGAGAAACTGTCTGAAAAAGAAAACGAAGGATTAAATAGGTAGAAGAATGAACAGGAAGCATCTGACTCTCTTTTCCCAGTCTGTTTACATTTCTTTTGATGTTTTCATCATCAATCCTCTATGTGTTTCTCTTAACTGATTAAGAGCAAACTTTGTTTCTTTTTGAAATTTATTTATTTATAATGAGGACACCAGATCTCATTACAGGTGGCTATGAGCCACCATGTGGTTACTGGGAATTGAACTCAGAACCTCTGGAAGAGCAGTCAGTGCTCTTAACCGCTGAGCCATCTCTCCTGCCCCAAGAGCAAACTTTCTTCTGTTAGTGCTTCTGTGTATACTTCTTGAAAACAGACATGACAGACATCAGCACAACCTTCAGGACTGTGAGCATTAATCCAACCCCATATTGTCTTCACAATTTCTTTTTCTTTTTTGTTTTCCTTCTTTTCTTTCTTTCTCTCTTTCTTTTTCTTTCTTTCTTTCTCTTTCTTTCTTTCTTTCTTTCTTTCTTTCTTTCTTTCTTTCTTTCTTTCTTTCTTCCTTCCTTCCTTCCTTCCTTCCTTCCTTCCTTCCTTCCTTCCTTCATTCCTTCCCTTTTTTTTGAGACAAGATCTCACTATGTAGCTCAAGCTGGCCTCCAGCTCACAGAGATCCACCTGTTTCTGCCTTCCAAGTGCTAGGATCAAAGGCGTGAGCCACCTCACCTGGTAGCATTCTTTTTTTTTTTTACTCCCTCCCTCCCTCCCTCCCTCCTTCCCTCCTTCCTTTTATTTACTTACTTATTTATTTATTTATTTATTTAATTTATTTATTTATTTATTTATTTATTTATTTATATATTTATTTATTGAAACAGACTATGAAGCCAAGACTGGCCTCAGGTTTGAAATCTCTGACCTCACTACCCCCTCTCCCCCCAGATGCTGGGCTTATAGGAGTGTGCCACTGTATTTAGAATTACTATTTTTTTCTTGCAGTTTTATTTGACCTTAACATATTTCATTAAGGGTTGTAGTCTTTGAGAAGTAACTTGAAGGACTTTGTTTCTCTGTGTGGCTATACCACCAATTTAATATAAAGTTCTCAGTTTGTCTGTTCAATTAGATTTACATTTTTAGGCAAATGACTTGTGATGATTTAGTTTCGGTTTTGGTGCTTTGAGACAGAGTCTCATGTTGTTCAGGCTAGCCTTGAACTGCCAAATGCTGGGGTTACCAATGTGTGCCTCACCCTGACTCAATGACTTGGATTTTTTGGAATAATTTTAGGGCTATACAAAGTGTTATAAACAAAATAGAGCTGACTTCCTATGTGCCCTTCCCTCAGCTTCCTACACTATCAGCATCTCTCTACTACAGAGTAATTACCAAAACTAAAACGTTAACCACAAGATAATCCTGTCAACAAACTCCAGTCCTCATGTCAATCAAACAGATTCCCCATTAACATCACCTTGTTCTGTACCAGGGTGCAAGTCAGTACCGCACATGGCATTTAGAGGCCTCAGCTTCTTAGTTTCCTCTAGCCTGTGACAGTCTCTGGGTTTTTCCTTGTGTCTTGTGACCTTGACACTTTCAGAGGGTGCTGATGAGTGTCTTTCCTGTTGGGTTTGTTGCTTCCTCATGATTTAGGGGAGATTCTCCATTCTGAGCAGGAATGCTGCAGAGGGGATGTGCTCTTTTCAGTGTGTCGGGGAGACAAGGCTGTCTCTGCTACAGATACTGTTTTTTCGGTCATTGATAAATATCTTGCAGGAAGTTGTTTGAAAAACTGCTGCCTATCAATTTTGGCACCCACAGGTGGGTCTTGGTGTAGTAATTATTTCTGTAATTATTTTCCCCTTTAAATTTTTGAGACAGTGTCTCATGTGGCCCAGTCTGCTTAGAATTCCCAGTAGCCAAGGATGACCTTGAGCTTCTGTTCCTTCTGCCTCTGTCTCCTGAGTGCTAGGATTACAGGCGTGGACCACCATGGCCAGTTTATAAGGAGCTGAGAATGTTAATTCAGGGCTTCACACTAGACAAGCACTCTGTTAATTGAGCTATTGCTGAGCCCCCTTTTCTGTTCCCCTTTCCTGTAGTGCTGGACTTGTGGATCCAATCTTATGGGGAGGCATTAAAATACTGTTCCTTTAGGATTCTTTTCTTAGTAAAGTAGCAATAAATGAAAATGTTTTATAGACATTTTCTAGATTATCCAAAGGTAGAGAATTGTATCATGTGTTATGTGATCCTGGAGTAGTCGTCCTCCATTTTCAATAGTTTTATTTGGACAAGTTTGATTTTACATATTCTGCAAACAGTCTCATTTTGTTTTTCCTGTGAATGGGTGTTTTACATGCATATGTGAATGTGTAGCACATGAATGCCTGGTGACCACAGAGGCCAGAAGATGGTCTTGGATCTCCTGGAACTGGAGTTACAGGTGGTTGTGAGCCTCCATGAGAATGCTGGGAACCAAAGCCAGGTTTTTGACAAGAATAGCCAGTGCTCTTAGTGGCTGAGTCATCTCTCCAGCCCCTTTTTGGCTAGTTTTAAAATCAGAGCTTGGATATTTTATTTCACACTTAAGTTCTTAATACAGAATGGTGGGATTGTTGTTTTTAATTGAAAATTTAGGGAATGTCCTGTTTCACTGGAGAACTGACACATGCTGGTTTGGGGAAGTGAATTGTTCAAGAATAAAGACAGCAACAGTGACCAGCGCAGCCCTGATCACCATAGGCCAACTAATGCTTCAGTGTGGATTTCATTAGACTCACTTATCTGTAAGCACACAAAGCAAAAGGCTTACACTGCGCTTCACCCATCCTTCCGCCTTCCTGGATGCACAAAGTGCCCTTCGTTCTTTGCTTGAATTGGTGCCTCCAGGCTCCCTCCCTGAGTGACAGCAACAGCAGGTGTCCTGGAAGGGCAGGCTGTTGGAGCAGAGGCCTGAGCTCCTGAAGCTTTGTGGCCTCTCAGTAAGCACCATATACCTGACACACCAACGCGGTCCTGACTCAGTTCCCACAGCAGTGAGAGCTGATGGGACTGTGGGAAGAGTGCTGGCTGTGGCAGGCAGGCCTGTGCTCCCTCCAGCGGTTTTGTGCCTGGCTAATGGCCATGTCACCTTCTTAGGTGTAGAGAGACCCTTGCCTGACCGTCCCTGGGAAAAGGAGGAGCCAGTGGTTTGGGGGACAGGTGAGGCCATCGAGTGCCACCTCAGTGACATGCTGCAGCAGCTGACCAGGGTCAATGCCTCCAAGCCCTCAGAGCGAAGGCTGGTGCGGCAAGGTGAGTCCTGCAGGGGGCTTCCCATCTGGAGAAGGCAGGGTATCTCAGTCAGCAAGCAGATCCCCCATTTCCTGGAGATCAACATCCAGATGAGTTAGCCTGACACCCAAGGCCCTCCTGGTGTGCCTTCTGCCTGTTTCTGCCCCATCTCACTCTGTAGGTGACTGATAGGTCACCTCTGCACAGCTGTGTCTGTTGTCTCCTTTCTGCCCAGGGAATTAATCCCTTGGTCCTCAAGAGACTCAGGTCAGCTCCAGCCTCAGGGCTTTTGTGCCCACTGCCACCACCCTGACTCCCACTGCCAGCACTTCCTAACCTGATGAAATTCTCCATAACATTTCTTCCCAACACATTCATGCATCTGCAGTTGGGACTCGGGTGCACTGAGGTGGTTCTAGTGTTGCAGGAATTGTTGGATCTGCACAGTTTCTTCAGCACTTTAATCTGGGGCACTAGGCTTTCCACCAGCCCTGATGTTAATGACTTTGATTACTCTTCATCCCTCTGGTTGGCATGTGGGTCCTTCTAGAAGCCTAGGGTTTTCTTTTCCTATCCACACCTACCACAGTTCCTGAGACACAGTAAAGGGGCCCACTTAACGAATTGGGACTTGACGTCCTGGGCTGCAATTTGGGTGTATAGGTTTGTGCCGTCAGAGCCCTCCACAGGCTTCATAGGGTGCCCCCCCAGCTCTGGGGAGGATTATCTGAGAAGACAGAAGAAGGGGCTGGCCTAACCAGTTCTCTGTTTCTATCCCAGAGGAGGCTGAGGATCCTGCATGCATCCCCATCTTCTGGGTCAGCCAGTGGGTAGACCAATCAATGAAGTATGGACTTGGTAGGTGTCTCCAGAATGTATGATGGGCAGGGGATGGTGTTGCCATAGTAGCCTTTGAGTGAACAAGTGAGTGATGTCTGTAATTGTGTGGCTGTGTTACCAAGAATTGTTAGGGCCTAATACATGCAAGCACTCTACTACTGAGCTATTCCCAGCCTTTGTCCACCTCCTCCTGCCTTTCTAAGATAGGCCTCCCCCTGCCCATTAGGGTATCAGCTCTGTGATAACAGTACAGGGGCACTCTTTAATGACTCAACATGCCTCGTCCTCTACAATGATGGCGACAGCCTCCAGTACATAGACCATGAGGGTATGGAGTCTTACCCCACCATGAGCTCCCACCCTGACTCCTTGATGAAGAAGGTGGGAACTGGCTACTGTAAGAGGGTGTGGCAGGGTATGGGGGCTGCCTCAGGGTCAGGCTCTCATTCTGGAATCCCTGCCTCAACTCTCCAACCAGATCACTCTCCTCCAGCATTTGCGAAGTTACATGAATGAACACCTGCAGAAGGCGGGGGCCAACAACACGGAGGCAGGGGCCAACACCACACCCCGGGAAGGTGATGAGCTGGCCCGGCTGCCCTACCTGAAAAAATGGCTCCGCACAAGCCACGCCATTGTCCTGCACCTCAGCAACGGCACTATACAGATTAATTTCTTCCAGGTGTGTAGGGGCCTGTACTTGAGGTGGCTGGGTGGGGTGGAAGTGCTGTTCCTTTCACCAGGTGGGGAGCCTTCCTCCCCTTTGCCTCAACCTCAGGCACCAGCTGAGCTTTTCACTCACTCCCTTCTTCCCTCCAAGGACCACATTATTCTGTGCCCCATGATGGCAGCTGTGACCTGCATCAAGAACCAGGACTTCCACACATCCTGCTTGAGCCTTCTGGAGGAATATGGCTGCTGCGAGGAACTGGGTAGACAGCTATGCTATGCCCACACCATGGTAGACAGGCTGCTGAGCTCAAAGTCTCCCAACAGCAGACTCCAGGACAACTCCTAGGCCTCCGTCCTTTGGGCTGGTGCCCCTTCACTCTGCAAGCTCTGCCTGGGGCTGCATTGCTGGACTTCTGGGACTGCTGTTCAGTAGCCCTATCCATGGGGCTGGGTGGGGAAGGGGCTGCTGTGTAAGTTATTTTTGTATATGTTTGGATCTGAGTTTATAACCTCTTCCCCTGCCCTCAGTCTACTGTATAACTTGTATAGATATATTTCTATTGAATTTGAGACTGTTCTTTCCTTGCCTTTATATTTATTCAATATATGTGCATATCTTTTCTTCTCCTGTGTTTTTGTGAGTACCCCGAACCCAGTGTATTTCTCTGTTCCAACAGCCTCAGGCTGTTAAACTGCTGTCCAATATGTTGATGCTCCCTAGACAAGGTTGAGCCACAGCCTTAACTCCTTGGTCCACCTTTGGGGCACCTGGTTGTCTCAGCTCTTTGAAATCTTGCAGGACCTCCCATCATCCAAAGTTGGTGACTAGTAGGGCAGGAAGAAGCTCTCAGAAGCACAGGTTCTCAGGGCATGGTGAGTGTGTAGCAGCAGCCTCGGGAAGCAGTGTGTGAAATAATGGATGTAGCCTGCAGGGACTTGGCCCACAGCCTGGTGTACTTCAGTTGGGAGCTTCCTATAGTGGTGCTTCTGGGGATGGTCAGGACAAGGACACTGACTCAGTTATGGCAGGCCATCCCTGATCCATGTCCCACCTAGGCTCTAGAACACAATTTATTCTTCATGACATGGAGTATGTCTTGCACTGATAATCCTCTTTTAGGACTGGAACCTTTTCAGAGATGTGGGTGGAGAAATGGGCTGTAGGGATAATTCACTGGGTCCCTTCTCTCAGGAAGAGACCCCTCCAAGCCTGCTCATCTGTTCCCAGGGGACAATCCAGTCCCTCTTCCCCAAGGCACTCTCCATCAGGGGCTGATCTGCAGCTTAGAGGACATTAGACAATGTCTGGAGGCATTTTGGCTGACTTGCCTTGGGAAGAAAGTACCTCTATCAACCTGTGAGGCCAGGGATGCTGCTAAGCATGCCACAGTATAACATGGCATAGGCTACAGGGAACTACCCACCCTTTCCCTGACAGTTTTCTTTTCTGAATCAGTACCGCCCAGGTTGAGAAACCATGACTTAGAAAAGGATTTTGTTGACATGGGTTCTTACTCCCTAGTTTAGCTCGGCCTTGAATTCTCTACTTCCCACTTCCTGAGGGCCAGGGTTACAAGCATCATGCCGGGTTTAGAAAATGACTTTTTAACCTTCACTATGCTTCACATGATTGTGACTGGATAGGTAGCCTGTAATTGTGGCACTCAGGAAGGTGAGGCGGGAGGATCCTGAGTTCAAGCTACATAGAAAAAAAGGTGCTGGTTCTCACTGTTCTGACCTAATGAGCTAGGTAGGACACAGTGTCAGTGTTTACCTAAGGTTAAGAATGTGGGGAAGTGAACTAATGTCACAGCAGTACAAAGGACAAAGCAGCACCTTCTGATCCTCCTGCCTCCGCTTCTCATGTTCTGAAGTACAGACATGCACCACCACGGAAGGTTCTGTGCAGTGCTGGGAATAGAACCCAGGGCATCATTTACACTAGGCAAGAACCCTACCAACAGGATTACTTTCCCAGTCAGGCTGTGGCACACCCCTTTAATACCAGTACTTAGGAAGCAGAGGCAGGGGTATCTCTGTGGGTTTGAGGCCAGCCTGGTCTATAGAGTGAGTTCCATGACAGCCAAGACTACAGAGAAGCCCTTTCTCAAAAAAACAAGTCTCAGAAAACGATTATGAAATACAAAGAAAACTCAGAACTAAGCTTCTACACTGAAGTCACTCAACTGCAGCAAGTTTATGTATAACTTCACTAGATTTTTATAAAACTTGAGAAAAAATTGTCAGATATTCATACGTACAAGCACTTATGGATTGGGAATACTCAGTTTGAGACCCATAGGCTTCAAATCCCTGAAAGACACCCAATCATCAAACACTCTAAAATTGTTCTGTAGGCTGGGCTAACAATATGAATACAGGTTAATGCATGTTTTGGAGGGAGGCTATATTGCCAAGTGGTAGTGACACATGCCTTTAATCTGACACTCAGAAAATGGGGATGGTTATACTGGCATTTGTGTTAAGGGTACAGTCATGGAATCCATGTGCTTAGCTTTAGAAAATTGCCCCAGGATTCCCTAGCAGATTGAGAATGCAGCCAACAGGGTGTTGGCAGCCTCCAGCCTCAGGTTTCCTGGCCATAGGAAAGTCACAAGGTTGGAGGCTGACTTAGCCATCTTATCCGGGAAACAGGAACCCCTCTGATCTGCCCTTGATGGGATACTGTTGCTGTGCTAGGCACCAGGGTGGGATGGCACCTGACATTGCTGCCATCAGCTGGCAGGTGGCAAGGATTCTGCATGTCTTGTGGCAGGCACAGGTGTCCATACACAGTCTATGCTAACATCAGGAGCCTAAGCAGAGTGGGCAGAATGCAAGTGGTGACATGTAGCTAGAGTTTTCCTGCCTGGCTCACAGTCAGGGCAAATCTCTCTCACCTGCCAGTCCCACAGCCGTCAGACCCGACCAAGTAAACACAGAGACTTGTATTGGTTTCAAACTGTATGGCCATGGCAGGCTTCTTGCTAACTGTTCTTTCAGCTTAAATTAATCCATTTCTATAAGTCTGTACCTTGCCACATGGCTTGTGGCTTACCGGCATCTTCACATGCTGTTTCTCATCGTGGCGGCTGGCAGTGTCTCTGACTCAGACTTCCACTTCCCAGTTTTATTCTCCTCCTTGTCCCGCCTATACTTTCTGCCTGGTCACTGGCCAATCAGGGTTTTATTTATTGACCAATCAGCAACACACTTGACATACAGACCATCTCACAGCAGTGACACCCTGATCCTTGCTCCCTCATGCATCCCTGGCTTCAGGAGCATGTTCAGACCCACCTGGGCATCCAGGATGGCATTCTACTCCTGGTCTTTCTGCTGGAGCAGCAGCTGGTGCTGCATCTCCAGCTCCCGTCCTGTAGCCTCTCCTCACAGCACATGACTGCCAAGTCCTTCTCATCCTTCTCCAGCAGAATCATGTTCTCTTCCATCTGTGGGTGCAAGACCAACTCAGGTGGGTTGGAGAGATGACAGAAGACACGCTGGTGCTCATGAGGTGCAGCTAAGCTACTCACACAGACAGCAGGGTCAGCAGCATCTGTGACTCCATCATGTCCATGGTCTGCTGCAGATCCTGCAGGGCCCAGCTGTTCAGTTCTCAGTAAGCCATGTTCATCTGACTCTTCCGGGTATGGCAGAACCCCCAACCTCTGTGTACTTTATAGGTTCAAATGGAAATAGTGTCAGAGGGGTTGGGGGTGGAGCCAGGTCTATACTTGCCTGGAAATTGTATGGGTATCCCCTACCCAACTCAGTATATGAACACACTCACCTGAGCAGGTCTCATGGGCACCACAGTCCTGGCCTCTGTCCTAGAGGAGGACTGGCTGCCTCTGACCTGAAGCCTTAGGTGCTGAGAGTCAGAACTACCCACTGCCCAATACCTCTGTACTTACCTGTCTCTTCTTGTAAAGGGTTCTCTTTCTCTGAGGGGTGGTAAAGGACTTGAAGTTGGCTTTCTTTGACATTGTCTTGTCTAGCTGGGGAGCCTCCCTGAACATGCTTTTGTCTAAAATAGACCCATTTTATTTATTTAAAGAAGAGTCTTTCACTTGGTTTTTGGAGATGTAGTCTAGGTTGGCCTAAGACTCAATCTTCCTGCCCCAGCTTGGGGCTTCAGGCTTGTGCCACCATAAGTGACCAAGAACATAACAGGTGCCTCTTGACTCATGACTCAGACTGTCACAAGAGGAAGATGTCACCCTCAACCCCAGCACCCAGGCCATCATGCCCTTTATGACAGAAGCACTGCCTGGGACCTGTTCCTGCTGCTGTCACTCTGCCTGGGACCTGTACTTGCTACCTCCACCCTGCCTGGGACCTGCACCTGCTGATGCCACCTCATCTGAGACCCACACCTGCTGCTGTCCTCCCACCTGGGACCTGCACCTGCTGATGCCACCTCATCTGAGACCCACACCTGCTGCTGTCCTCCCACCTGGGACCTGCACCTGCTGATGCCACCTCATCTGAGACCCACACCTGCTGCTGTCCTCCCACCTGGGACCTGCACCTGCTGATGCCACCTCATCTGAGAACCACAACTGCTGCTGTCATCCCACCTGGGACCTGCACCTGCTGATGCCACCTCATCTGAGACCCACACCTGCTGCTGTCATCCCACCTGAGACCCACACCTGCTGTTGTCATCCCACCTGGGACCCACACCTGTTACCACCACCCTGCCTGGGACCCACACCTGCTGCTGTCATCCCTCCTGGGATCCACACCTGTTACCACCACCCAGCCTGGGACCTGTACTTGCTACTGTCACCCAGCCTGGGACCTGCACCTGCTGATGCCACCTCATCTGAGACCCACACCTGCTGCTGTCATCCCACCTGGGACCCACACCTGTTACCACCACCCAGCCTGTGACATGTACTTGGTACAGTCACCCTGCCTGGGACCTGCCACCCCACCAGGCAGGAGGGAACTGGCCCACACTGTCAGTTGAGAACACACTGGGACCCACAATCCTAGGCCTGGTGTGCATGAAAGGCACAGATTCTTCTCACAGCAGTGAGTCAAACTGGCAACAAGGGCTTTCTTTCTTTTATTTATTTATTTATTTATTTTTTTAATTTATTTTGCAATACAATTCAGTTCTACATATCAGCCACGGATTCCCTTGTTCTCCCCCCTCCCGTCCCCCTCACCTTCCCCCCAACTCCCCCAATTCCCATCTCCTCCAGGGCAAAGCCTTCCCCACAGACTGAGGTCAACATGGTAGACTCAGTCCAGGTAGGTCTAGTCCCCTCCTCCCAGGCCGAGCCAAACAATCCTGCATAGGCCCCAGGTTTCAAACAGCCAACTCATGCAATGAGCACAAGATCTGGTCCCACTGCCTGGGTGCCTCCCAAACAGATCAAGCCAATCAACTGTCTCATCCGTTCAGAGGGCCTGATCCAGTGGGGACCCCTCAGCCATTGGTTCATAGTTCATGTGTTTCCATTCATTTGGCTATTTGTCCCTGTGCTTTATCCAACCTTGGTCTCAACAATTCTCGCTCATATAAACCCTCCTCATTCTCGCTAATTGGACTCCCAGAGATCCACCCAGGGCCTAGTCATGGATCTCTGCATCCAGATTCCTCAGTAG